CCCCCCCCCCCCACCGAACCGCCCGCGATCTCCCAGGCTCCCGGCTTAATCAGCATCCGCGGGGAGACAACTATATAGCTGCGACTTATACGTAGTTTCGCGAACATGTGGCGTACACACGTTGTCGCGGAGAACGTTGGATCCCACGGAAGGGAATTTTCTTTCGTTCGTCATGTTTCCGGTGAAAATGCCGCGTATTCGATATATATAATAAATTCGCAATAATTTTTTGCGCTACAAATTTGAGCTACAAACAGCGACATTGTCAAGCAGTTGCGCATTGTGCGCGCGGCTCCGACTACTGTAACCGTCACGGTCGGTAGTCATCTCGCATCTCGGCTTGAATCGCGTTAGCGCCACGACTGCTACAGCCGTCACATTAATTAAGGTTTTAATTAGTGTAAAAATTAGATATACACATGTACGCCAGTCTAACACTATTAATATCAAAGCGAAAGAGAAGCGCGGTCTTTATTATAAGCGAACTACTTTCCCATCCGAGAGATTCGCGTCGGATTTTCGAAAAAGAATGAAGAACACAAAATCGATACTCGGATCGCGTGCTTTCTCACGGATCGTTTTCGAAGAAAGTCGCGTTTGCGGGGGAGGGAGGGGGAGGGGGGAAGGAAGCAGGCGCTACCGTATATATACTCGCTACGGTATGTAGCCTCTATACTCTCGGACCGAAGAGGCCCGGAGGAGGAGGAGGCGAAGATATATCACGTTGTCGGCCGACATACCATTCTTTTGCGGCGCGGCCGACACCGCGCCAGCATTCACAAATTAAGGAGCGCCAAAGTCAACGGCGGCGTAGGTAGGTATGGCGCTATCGCGCTTCATAAAACTTCGTTAGCACGCCAGGTCGGGGAAGTAGACGGCGGTCCGCACCCGGTAGTGTGCGGACCCGGCCCCGGGATATACCCACATAAGCGCTGATGGCCCCGCGAGACCACCGTAAAAATTCATTTCGCACCTCGCCCCGTGTAATTCAGCCGGATTCTTGCATCTTCGCCAGCCGGCGTAGAAGCGTATTAGATGGACCATGTCCGCGCACTTCGCGGTTAATGACTCCGCTCGCGCTATGCGCGGTACGTTTAATAATTGTACAGCGACAGCGCGCCCCCCTTAATTATTCGTCCGTATGCGTAAATTCCGTGTGCTCCACTCTTCAAATTATCCGTAGCGTAAAGAGAGATAACGCGTTAGAAAATTAGAAAAAAAAAAAAAGAATTGGCGGCGAATATACTTTCTACAATTAAATCAGTGGAATGGATGTCGCTGATTAAAGCAATGACAAGATTTCACCGAAGTCAGCATTTCACTGATTTTCGAGTGAAAACATTCACATTTTATTTTTCCGTCTTTTATTTCACTGTTTATAGTAGTAAAATTTTTAAATTAATTAATTTTATTTAAATTCAAAATTATATGCATATTACATTTTTTTGCTCTGAAGATGTGATATAAACTTACAAACCTAGAGATATTTCTTCAACAAAATATATTGCTATGAATTTATCACATATATTATAATACATTAATACAAGATGCATTTTTAAAATATTATTGAATAAAAATAAAAATAAATATGATTAACATTATAATTAAAATTAAAATTAAATTGAATTGATTAAAATTAATAAAATAAACAAATTAAATAGATAATAAAATATTTAAAATATAATTGAAACAGATATTACTATTAATTAATTCTTTCGGTGAGATTTATAACTAAATTCGCACTACTTATCAGTGATATATAATACATTAATTCCATTTAAGAAAGTAATAGCGAGAACTATATAAATGCTATATAAATAGATTTCAGTTTGTTTGAAAAAGATCTTCAGTATATATTCTTCATCCTCGTTACAAGTCGATTAATTTCTCAATCCGCGCAATCACACCAATTCGATCGATTAGTCCCGTATAGCTCGTATCCTTTCAACCTTATTAGCATTGCACGTGGCGACGTAATATCATGTCGCTCACCTTTCGATCCGTCGTCCGTTAATTTGCCGCGGGGACCGCGCATATAAAATGAGAGAGTCTGTACCTGTGCGAGAGAGACTCGTATGGAGACCATGTATGTGTCAGCTCACGCATACACATTCGCGCGTGGTTCCAGTCATTACGTACGTAGCCTCGTTAGAACAAGTCCTTTTTTTTCCTCCCCGGTTCGCTAATGAGGTGGTCCGCGACTTGCGGTCCACCGCCGTGCAGAGGGTGGCCGACGTACGAGCGGCCGGCTTCAGGTCGAGGGCAGCTTCCGTTGACGTTCCCGCGCGAATCTGGAGACCGACACTATTTTTAATCTACCCGCGGGATGCGCGGGCTTGATAAAATTAAAACGCATGTTCCGCTACGAAAGCTTGCTTACTCTACCGTCTCCCTCTCTCACTTTACTGCGAAAAACGTGTATGCCCTTTTAGGGCGCGCTTCCCCCGGATCAGGACTCGCCGGAGAATGTCGCGTTAATAGTCGACGTCGCGCCCGTGGTTTGGTGATTAATTTTCGCCGTTAATTTTGGTCACTGGACTCTAGGGTTTACAGTGCGGCCACAGTCGGGTACATATATATTCGACAGCCGAGTATATGATGCGGGTAATCGAACGTGGCTGCGATTAAGCGAGAGACCTCGCCGCGAGACTCTCTTAACGGTATTATTAATTTTATCAGAATTACACGTTTTTCAGGAAACTGAGGGTATAATTTGTAATAATAATAACTTTATTGAGTGTACGAAAAGCAAAGCGTGCAACAAAAATGTACATAAAAAGAAGGCTGTATTTCAATAGCCGAAGTATCAACTATAGTGCTGTTTCTATCTTCTACTATGTCTAATTCTTCCCTTCTCTCTCTAATATATTTAATTTATTAATTAAAAAAAAATATATATATATATAAAATATAAATATATATACCATTTTGAATATAGAGATATATAATATTTATTGTATTAGAAAAAGAAAAGGCGTGACTGTCACATTTTTTGCTGCAATCAGGCCAAGAATATTTCCCTCGCACTTTTCGAAGAATTTTCATGTAGTTTAGTTCTATCTAAGTGTAATAAAATTCAAGCTCTCTATTTGCTCTTTCCGGCTTTCCTGGAATCGCATTTACTCTATTCCGACTGTAATCGATTGCCAGTCGGGGAGTCTTCTCTCTTTCTCTCTCTCTCGAATACATCCCGACGATGGTTTCCATTCATTTAGCTCGTCCCGGTTGACAGCCGGGCCGTTGCCGTCGTTTAATTCGCGAATATTTCACGGACGCGTCATCCCGAAAATACGTTACAGCTGCTCGCGTCGTGTCTCTGCAATCGGGCCACCTTCGGCGCCCGAAAAATCTGCAGCCGCGGTCATAAATCTCGGCGCTGATACATTTTTACTTATCACCTTCCCATCGCGCCGGCTTCCTCGCAAAATCCCGCACGGTAATCCCGGTCTCGCGCGATTTAAACGACCGTCGAATTATGACCCCGTCTTTCTTCGCGCGTGTTACAGACGGCTTTACACTGGGGCGCCAAACACGGCGAGGAGAACATCATTAAATTAATAGCGGGCACCTACAGGGACTACAACAAGAGTATCAACGAGACCACGGTGAGTGTTCTTTCCCTCTGAGATTGCTGAATAAAATATTGTTTAAAACCAGTGCTTTTTCTAGACGTTATAAGGTTGAAGAATCGGAATTTTTATCTGTAGAATATATTAGAGCGATTTGCACTATTCGATCTTACATTATTAATCTTTGCAAACCGTAATGGAAGATTGGAGATCAACTTAATCTTTCATATTTTTCTGTTTCCGATCATCGGATGTCTCCATCGAATGACGCAGAATGGGGTAAGTGTCTTATTCTTTCAAATATATTAAATAATTTTTTTTTTTTAATAAAATTATTTTATAAAATTATTTAATAAAATTAATTTTTAATAAAATTGCGATCGATGAAAATAGCAATTTATAATTCATATATCGGGTTAAAGTTTGCTTCAAACGAATATTATTTCCTATGTCGATAGCGCTCTTGTTTATCAAAAAAAAATGAAGCGCATCAAATACATTCGGATAACATCGAGGCAGAGTATCTTTGTCGGTCCTTGCCACGATCGCGTATAATTTGCCGGACGTACGGAGAGCGGGATCGGTTTAGGGAACGATTCGCGTTGTAAGAGGTAGAACAAACGGAGAGTCAATCCGCGTGAGAAGGAGGGAAGGCAGGAAGGAAAGAAGAGAGAGAAAGAGAGGGGAAGCGCGCACAGAAAAGCCCGCAGATAGGATCAGACGTGTGTGGTCCCGCCGCTTTGCTCTTTATAAGACTTATATAAGCCAGGGAGTGCTTCACATTGAGAAAAGAATCTCTTCTACATCAATATCTCGGTAATTTTCAAGTTGTACGACAGCGGAAAAATGAATGATCTGAAGAATCAGCAAAAGAAACATTGAGAAAAGAATCTCTTCTACATCAATATCTCGGTAATTTTCAAGTTGTACGACAGCGGAAAAATTAATGATCTGAAGAATCAGCAAAAGAGAGAGAGAGAGAGAGATAACTCGTGTAACGGAAGAGAAATCGAGTGTACAAGAGATTTCCATAATACGGGGAAACATATTATGACGCACACGCGTCGCTATTCCTGTATTTTCCCCGATGACAATTCCGGCCGACTCGATGCGCCGCTGCCGGGGATTAACGCAGCCCCGGATATAATGAATACGGTCGCGCTCATGTACGTACCGATGTAGAATAGGTAATCCACACCCCGGACGAGGGATCTGTCCTCGGCGAATCCTCTCTGGACGTTTTTTTTTTTCCTCTTTCCTTTTCCACTGCGCGGCTTTAGGACCAGACTGCGGATCGCGCGGCTCGGCGTAATCTGTCACCGGCGTCGCTCCCGCGCCGCGCTTTTCTACGGCTTATCCCGGCCACCGGCTTTCCCCCAATCCCGCGGCAAATGAAAGAGGACGTAGGAGAGAAACGAGTGGAAAAAAAAGATCATCCGGTGGAGCTTCGCGTGGAATCGCTCGAGACGATCTTATTCACGACTAATATCCGTCGCTCGCGGGCATCGATACCGGTTTCTCCGACAGGTTTGCTGGAAAAAGTGCCAGGAAATGTCGATATAGTAAATTTTACAAAGAGTATAGTCAATATGCGAAGTAATAAAATTATTCCCTCTCGCGTACATATACGCGTTACGATTCTTTTTGAATATTCTTGACGTTTACTAATTTAATTTAGGATCTCTCCTCGTTCAGAGTTAATGCCAAATTTTGCGGCTTCGTCGCATAAGCTTTGGAATTTTCGATACAAGCTGAGAATGTCTCTCGATCTCAACGAGCACCCAACTATTTGACGCTCTTAGCGTGAAAAATCATAGCTCGAGAGGCCCACCATCGCGGCTATTTTATTCTCCGACTCACTTATTTATTATCCGACTCACTTATCGTAAGAATTCCGCCGATCACGACTTTTTTAATCCCCGGTCGGCCTGTTGACGACGAAGCGGATCGCAGTCACCGGCGTAATCTGTCACCGGTACCGCTTCTACCGTGGTTTTCTACCGGCTTATCGCGGCATCGCCTCGCATTTAATCCCCGCAAAAAACGGGGGATGGCCGCGTTTGTTTCCCCGTGTGTCCCCCGAAGGGGACGGGGGGTGTTCTCGTAAGCCGCCCATGTGGCGCCTGCATCCTTGCCTGGCGCACGACAGTCAACGACGATCCCGGTTAAGGCTCCAGTAGATGCAACTGGAATCTGCAACGGGTGATCCATTCGAAACATAATCTCCGATTCGAGAATTAATTATTCAAAATACTAGATAAATTATAGTTGACGCATTTTGCGAATTTTTGAGCAATTATTATAATAATGAGAGAAAAATTATCTGTCACATTTTTCACACGTTAATAATGAATTACTAAAATTCAAATCATTAAAATTTAAACTTGAATGAACTATTATTATATATAAGATCAGTCTCCCTCGGAAAGTTTCAACCTTTAAATCTTTACCATGGCATACATAAGAATTACGTATCTCTTATTTTGAATTAGCTTGGCCCATCGTGGGATTAAATTCTATCACGCGAAATATACGAGGCATATAAGAAATGTCTACATGATAGACATCGTTGAAAACGATATTGCCCTCCCACCGATTTTTGAGCGGGCCTATGTTGAAAAACGAGATAACCTCGGAACATGCGGACTCCTTCCCCGGACTTCTTTCGCCCTTCCAGAAAGGGCAGGGAAAAGTAGAAGCGCCGTTATGATATAGCGGCTCGTAAAGGCGGCCCGATGTAGGAAAATATTAAAATTGAAAATCCTCAACGGTGATATACGCGTGCGTGATATTGGTGGCCGGCAGCTGTCCTGTTTCTGCAGGACGAAAGAGGGAGAGAGAAAGGATGAGGGAAATGAAGAGGCAGGAAGAAGGGACACGTTAGAGCGCGCGTACTCGAACGGAGAGGAACGGAGACGCGGAAGACGAAGACGAAGTGGCGGTAGGGGCGCGATATTGTCTCGAGGCTCCGTATGCTCCGGGACATTGCTACTTTAAAATATCGTTGGGAGAGCATAAAAAGGGGGGGTCCTCCCATCCTCCGCGCGCATGTACCCACCCTCATGTACGGGGTGTTTGAGAAGTCACCCGTTTCCATATCTGGTATCACAGAAATCCAGATTTCATATATAAAGCCAAATACTCGCACTTTTCGGATCTCTTTCTAATCATTCGGTATTTTGTCCCCTGAATATATAATAAATAATATTAAATTTAGTTAATTTTGGTTTCATTTTGCTTTTTGCTATATTGCCTCATTTTTATTAATAACCATTGCAACGATTTTTTATTTTTACCATTAGCGTTAAAAATATATAACTTAAAATTTAATTTATAATTTAAAAAAGACTCTCATACATCGTCAAAGTTATCGGAATCTCTTTCAAAGTTTGAAGATATAGGCACCTCGTATATTATGACTTCGTATATCGCATACTTTAATCCGCACTACTTTGTTGTTTGGCCGGCTCTCGGCCCCCCGATCGGCTCTCTCTTTCTCTCTTTCTTCCAGCGACTTTTATCTAAATTAAACCAGTTTCCCTCGGCATGAAAGAGGTATGTTGAGCGACGACGCGCGTTAACTATCAGACTGCGTGGTATAAAATTTGAATTTATGTATTTAAAGAGAAGAATATAAATGCTATTTTTATCCAGTTGTAAATATGGGCGTAAGATATGCGTAAGAGCCAAATAATTATTTCACATTGTAAAACATCATGAATGATCTTCTCGCCAGTATCCAACGTAAAGAGAATGTAAATTATCTCGGTGATTAAAATCTTTTGCGACAACTGGGGGATGGATAATTCGTGGATCTCTTATCGGACTCGCTTATACGACTATCATGACACTATTACGCAGTGTCGCATCAGCCGCGCATCGACTTCACGTATCATATTATCTTGGCGAACGTCAGAGCGGCAGCTGTTATTTGACGTGCGAATTGGAAAAGTAAGCCCTTTTTTCACCTGCTCCGTCCGAGTCGAACGATACTAATTGCGAGATAACGTTCTTTTAATACTTTTGCCCTCGCGATAAATGGCGCATGTAACGGTGATGCCCCGAGGACCTCGACGTGTCGAGCTTGTCACAATGAACAGAATGTAAGGGTCCCGCTTTTAACATTCGCTTTTGTAGATCAATCTGATATACCGTATCTTAATGAAACGACTCTTAATAAAGATATGTACGAAATAATATCGTCCACTTAACAAGCGCGGACTAATATTCGTTTCTTTTTAGTCTCGTGCATTATACGTATAATACATTGAAACCCGTATATGTATATTTTAATAATACGCTTAGCTTAATCATAAAATACACAGTGTTCGTTGACTGCTCATTTGTACGTAAGATCGATTTATACACGATATATCTATAGTCACGCACGTCCTGTTGATCATAGATCGACGAGCAGCGCGAACCTCTAATCAGGAAATAATCTCTTGACTTGATCTTTTTTTTTTTTAATTTTCAACATTAAATGAACATTAAGTGTACGCGCTAATTAAAACCTCCAATTAAAATGTTGATCGAAGTACAAGTTCGAGATTAACCGGCGGCCAACGATCTGTTATCTATCTTATCCGTTTCGAATACATTGTGTTCGAAAAAAAGATTCACATAGAAGCCGGATGAAAGTGCATGCGTGCAGGGCGATAAGGGCGATGCACGCGAGGCTAGTTTTCGCGGCGTCGCCGTCTCCCTTACGCGTACACGCACGCACGCACGCACTAACTCACGCTGGAAAGTCTTATTTCGAAAAAATAACGTTATTTATATTGAATAAAATTTTCTAAAGCCTCCGACATTTTTTTTATTTTTTATTCAAAGGCTCTCGATGCTTGGATGTTGAAGCAACGAATGCTCCTTCTAGTTAGGTTCCCAGAGACGCGGTGAGCGCGCTACTTGTGCGACACCTCGTACATGCACATCCGTATCGCGAAGGGATGCGTGAGGGAGGGCGCGTGAATTGGCCAGGGGGGTGTCGCGCCACTTGTCGCGAGGACACACGTGTCGCACGCTATTGGAGCTGGCAAAAGGGTGACGCGCGAGGAAGTCTACTCACCCCATACATGCCGTTTTCCGCTCTATATATGTGATCGTCGTATATGACCGTCGTGAGTTTTTTCGCGCGTATCTATAGGCGCGGGGATTTTAAAGTGAAATAAATTAGAAATTTTTAGGGGCGAGCGGGGAGGGGGTGAATCGCATTCTCTCCACACGCGCGAGCGACCAACCCTTCTCTCACGGCTTAGCGTATCATAAGCGAGGGTGCGAAAACGCGAAGGGTGCGTCCCGCGTTTCGATAACTACGATCGCGGTTTTGACACATTTGTCACTATCGTTTATTGCGCAGTTCGATATTAAACGCCAACGATATACAGTCGTTCATGAACCCGGACGACGACGGGGACGATTTTTTAATCGCCTTCATAGCGCGGCCAAATGTCGCGCCCGATGTATCTCGAGGGTGGGCTTAATTGAGGGTAAAAGCATTGTACAGATTCAAATCGACCCTTTCGTTACGCATTTTTCCGCCGCGGCCTTTGTACCGACGGGCATAGCGTTAATGTATTACGATTACGCGCACCGCAAGCAGAATTGAAGCATAATCTATTACGTCCGCAAATTCAATCTGCTAAAAGCTTTCTCTGTAATTAATTTTTTTATCTTATGATTCGTCTGCTAATTTGTGTATAATATTGTATCTTCCTTATAAAAAAACTCAAATTAGGCTTGTAAAATTTTTTTGCCAGCGTATAGAAATAGAATAAAAAGTTTCTTAAAGAATTCTCACTCGCCTTCACTTCTTACACACATGTCGTATGTATATAAAAAATATATAGAATGAGTTTACGTTCTAGATACACCTGTTTCTTTCCTTATTCGTGAATGTTACGCATATTTTTACAAAACGTACTCTTAAATAGATCGCTCGCATTTTCACCTCCGCCAGATAATGACTCGCGCACACGTACACACATACATACGTACACAATTACGCGCAATTTGTCGTACTTATCGACACGAGCATCGCTACAACGTACTCTTTCACGAACGCTAGCCCGCGGCAAGAGTACAGGGTGTCCCTGACCGACCGCACTTTCATTTTACCATAGATACTGTCTGCGAATTGTCGAGGCGAAAGACTGCCGAGAGAGAAAAAGAGAGAGCGAAGAATAGCCTGTCGATGAAAAATAACTAATAATTAATGATGACTGTTTTGATATATTTAAAAATGTTGATATTCACATTATATGCATCTGTCGCGAATTTTTAATTTCGCTTCTTTGTCATTTATGAAACAGTTCGTGTTCAAAGAGCGAAAGAAAGAACCTCCGAACCTTTCCCCCACACCACTTCAAGGAAGTCTAATCGAATTTAATTCAATCTAATCCTCAATTAAATTCTAAATCTAATATTCAATTATTCTATTAATTTATATACCGTCTCCCTTACGTACACGCACGCACGCACGCACGCAAGCAAGCACGCATATAAGGATTGTTTCGGATCGCGACGTCTTTGTCGCGGAAATGCGAATTCGCACGCTCGAAGTGATATTCATAATACGATGCCATTAATTACTCATTGTCTCTGCGACGGCACTGTTCTGTTAATTCCTTCCTCCTTCTCTCTCTCCCTTTCTCGACCCTTTTCTCTCTCTCTCTCTCCTCTT